TCAGACCTGAAGGGTAACTAGGGGCCATAGTCTCAGGGATCTCACCAGGCTCTAAGAGAGCAGCAAACTTGTGTTTTTTTTTTTTTTTTTTTTTAAATCATTTTGACTTTTGTTCCACATTGTTCTCCCACTCTATCCAGGATCTCCTGTACCAATCCCCCTCCAAGTGGTTGACAGTGGTAGCCAGGAACCCTCTAGTTCTTCTGGTCTCCTGGTCATATAAACTGAGGCTCTCATGGTCTACCATGTATTCTATCTCTTATGAGTACCATTTGACAGATAAGAAAATGGAGACCTAGAAAGAAAACTAGCTGCAAATGATCACACAGTGATGGACTTGTAGGTCTAGGATGCTGGAATCCTAGAATGTCATATCTGGCAAAGTTCTGTAAATTCATCATACCAAGCAGCTCTCACAACTCTGTCAGGTTTGTATTGTCACCCCCATTTGGACACAAAGAAACTGAAGTTCAAGGTTGCTTAGCTATAAAGCTTTATTGTGCTATCCAGTGATCATTTTTCTAGGGTACAGTCTAAAGCCCATAACACAAGTGCTAAAATTTGGAATTGGCCATCAAAATCCCACCATTCTCCTATGATGGAAGGGGGGCAAGGCATTATTTGGTGGCTGTCTTCTCAGAAGGGTAGAACAGGGTAGTGAGTTCTTTGTGGGGATGTGTATTTGGAAAACTTACCATGCGATACCTCTATGGGGCACAATGGTCTGAGGTGGACAGGGACATCGAAAGGTTGAGAGAGAAATGGTCTGTAGACAGAGGCTACAAGGGGTCAGCTTGGGTCCTTTCCTGAGGGCCGCCAGGAGGGACAGAGTGGTCTTAGCGGTAGGAAGCTGGAGCTGATGTTGGAGTCTAAGGGCCTGATGAAGGAGTTGCTGTGACCTCTAGGGAGAGAAATGCAGCCTCCAAGGTCAAGAGGCCTGCAGAGGAGAGGGTCCCTGTGATGACGACTATCTCTATGAAGCCCACAACACCATCCCTCAAAACCAAACCAAGCAAACCGGCTGCCATCAAGTAGATTCCAACCCATGGTGACCCCATGTTATAGAATAGGACTGCTGTAATCTTTACAGAAGCAGGTCACCAGGCCTTTCTTCAGTGACACCTCTGAATGGATTCCAACTTCTAACCTTTAAGTCACAAACTACTTGTGCCACCCAGGCAGGGCCCTTCTTCCACAGAAAGGAGAAGTTTTAAATGTCTACTGGGTCCAGAGAGTTCCAGGCCGGTCAGGGTGGTGCAGCTCAAGTGAGACCCTTCCTCTCCTTTACCATCCTCACCCTGGCCACCCCTACCGCCTGTGGTCCCATCTGTGGGGGGAGGGGAGGAGATACAGAGAAAGGCCTTCCCCACTATGAGCTGCTGGGCCCGCTGGGAGAAGGAGAAAGTCTAACCCTAAATCAAGCTGGAAGTTTCACTTAGGAGCTTGAAATCAAACCAAAAAAACCAAACTCACTGCCATGGAGTTGATTCGGATTCATAGCGACCCCCTATGGGTTTCCAAGGTGGTAAATCTTTACAGAAATAGATTGCCCAGTCTTCTTTCTAAGAAGTGGCTGGTGGGTTTGAACTGCCAGCCTTCTGGTTGTTGGTCAGATTCCTTAGGCACTACCCCATCAGAGCTCCTTTAGGATCAGAGGTGCTTGAAAGGACAGTCTAGTTTCTAAATTGATACTGTGTTTGTGACCTAAAGTGACCATAGAATTGCCTGTTGCTAAGAGGGAGCAGAAAAGTAAAGGGAATGTGTTTCCCCAGCAGCAGAGACAAACGTTTCTCTGCTGAATAAACTCTAAAAGGGAGATTGAGTGAGAAAATAAAGGTGTGTTTCAATTAAGCCACTCACTGATCCGGCTTGTTCAACATGACGGTCCCATCGAGGCTGAGAACTCTTCAAAACAAGTCTGAGACGTGCATATCCCAGATGCTCTGGAGGTTGGTTCATTAGGCAGGCAAGAAGTGTGGGTGCCTCTGGGAGCTTCTCGAGTCCTTGTTGTGGCTGCTGCTGGCACCCCACTCAGAACCCCTTTACAGGGCCAGCACACATCCCTCCCAGGTGCTTCTGTTGTTGGTTTCTGATGGCTGGTTTCTAATTGCTTTCTAATGGCTGATTGCTGCCTACTTCTCCAGGGAATTGCCCTCAGCTGAGAGGACTTGCCTCCCCCAGGAGCTTATCCCTCAACCTGCACGGTGGCTCAGAACCACTGACTGACAGAGACAGAGGTACAAAAGACTAGGCTCCTTGCTTTCCCTGAGACCACATCCTTGCTGAATAAGGAAGACTGAAGAAGAACTGATGCTTTTGAGTCGTGGTGCTGGCGAAGAATGCCATGGACTGCTAAAAGAACAAACAAATCTGTCCTGGAGGAAGTGCAGCCAGAATGCTCCTTGGAGGTGAGAATGGCCAGACTTCGTCTCACCTGCTTTGGTCATGTTGTCAGAAGGGACCATTCCCTGGAGAAAGAAGGACGTCATGCTTGGTTCGACAAAAGAGGGGAAGGCCCTCAATGAGATGGATTGACACAGTGGCTGCAGCGACAGGCTCAAGTATAGCAGGGATTGTGGAGCTGGCACGGGATCGGGCACTTCTCTTACCAGTTCCTCTATTAATAAATTGCATGTGCCTAAGGCACTTGACTGCTAACCAGAAGCTTGGTGGTTCAAACACACCAGCCACTCCTCAGAAGGAAGGTTGGGCAATCTACTTCCATAGTGATACCACCTCAGAAACCCAAGGAGGGGTGTCTATGAATCAGGTCCGACTCCACGGCACATAACAACAACAACAATGCCTGCCTCAGGCTCTCCTTTTAGGGAACCTGGCCAATGATAGTTCTGGGCATCAGAGGGAATAAAGGGCCAGTCACTAGTCCTGAGCCAAGCACCCAATCTCAGATTGCCCTGGGTTCAACTCCCAGCACCGTCACTACACTGCTATGTGACCTTGTTCTGTTTCTCTAGTGCTGCTCTAACAGAAAATACCACAAATGTATGGCTTGACTTTAACAAACTGGGATTTATTCTCTTACAGTATAGGAGGCTAGAAGTCCCAGTTCAAAGTGCCAGCTCTAGGGGCTGGGTGAAGGGTCCTTGACCTTGGGCTTCAGCTCTGCCTCTTGCTCCCAGCCCACTGAAGCTGGAGGCTTCTCTTAACTCAGGCAGCAGCTGGCTGCTGAGGCTGACAAACCCAAGGTCAACAAGTAAAATGGCACAGTCCCCAAATTATCAAGCAACGTGGCAGGCCACTAGTTCAAGTCCATAAACAGTCTCAGGATCAGCAGACAACATGGCAGGCCTCTGAGATGAAGACTTGGCCAGATGCAGGATCCAGTTGTGCCAAAAAGCTTAGAGACCTTTCCCAAAGTGTCTTGTTATATATTGGAAGCAGACCACATTCCCTAGGGCAGCTACTCAGCTGCTCACAGTAGATTCCACCATGGAGCTGATTACCAGTCTCATCATGGGGAATACTCCATCCAGCTGCCCAGCCACTCAACCAGGCCCAGCCAAGTTGATACACAACCTTAACTACCACAGACTTCAAGCATCAGATTGCCATACTTCTCTAAGTCTCAGTGTTCTCATCTATAAAATAGAAGGAAAACTACCATCCACTTCATAGGGTTTTTATAAGGATTGAATCTATGCAAGCACCTAGCCTAGACCTGGCACAAGAAGTGGTTCTGTTGTTACTGCACCATCTAACAGCACCAAGTACGTGTGAAGGAAGAAGCTTTTAGCCATCTAGTTGAGGATGCTGTGCCCATGGGATGGTGGGGTTACAACTATAATCACAGAGCCACTGTGTATGAACACCTACTATGTGCTAACACCTACTATGCGCTAATCCATATGCCAAGTGCCACATATGTGTTAGTTCACTATATCTTCACCACCTTTCAAGGTTGATAGGATTGTCTCCATTTTCCATAGGAGAAACGGGCTCAGAAAGATGAGTACATCACGAACGACTAAAAGACTGACCATAACAACTGGAGCACTCACACACTATTGGTGGGAATGTGAAAGGTTATAAGCACTTTGGAAAACAATTTGGAAGTTTCTTTAAAAATTAAGCATACACTTATAGGATGACCCAGCAACTGCACCCTTTGGGGTTTACCCAAGAGAAATGAAAATGCCTGTCCACACAAAGCCCTGTGTATGAATACTCATAGCAACTTTATTCATAATAGTAAAACCAGGGGAGAATGTCCATGTGTAGGTGAGTGAGTAAACACACTGTGGTGAATCACGCACACACACACACACACACACACAAAGGCACAAATGATTGCAGCATGTAACAGCATCAGTGAATCTCAAATAATCATGCTGAGTGAAAGAAGCCAGACTGAAGAAAAGAAAGAGCAAAAATCATTTGATTCCATTTATATAAAATTGCAGAAAGTGCAAAGTATGTTTTAATGACAGAAAGTAATCTATAGTGACAGTTGTTGCTTAGGAATGGAGGGGGTGGCAGGAAGGGATGGCTTCCAAAGTGGCACAAGGAAGCACTTGGGTGATGGACATGTTCATCTTGACGGGTGTCTAATACATCAAAACTCATCAAATTATACAACTAGAACATGGGCAGTTTCTTGCTGTTGGAGGAGCGCTCAGCTGCTAACCAGAAGATTGGTGGTTTGAACCCACCAGCCGCTCTGTGGGAAAAGATGTGGCAGTCTGCTCCCATAAAGATTTACAGCCTTGGAAACCCCATGAGGCAGTTCTACTCTGTCCTACAGGGTTTCTACGAGTCGGCATTGACTCAATGGCAATAGGATTATTCTTTAAAAAGAAACAGCTACAAAGTGGCACAAGCAGGATTTGAACCTGTGTCTGTCTGATGTGAAATCCTTGCTCTCACCACTCAGGAGCTGGCAAGTTATTAGAAGGTCTCTTTTCTCTGGGTGGAGACTTAGACTCTGTCAAAATGGCACTGCCTCCGAGAAGTCTTCCTTGATGCCCCGACAGTGGTAGACCATGGCCTCAGCCCACACCACCCTCCTGCCTGCCTTCAGGCTCTGTCAGTGCATACTTTTGGCACTCGGAGGGTCTTTCCCTTGTGTCCTCCTCCATATGGTCCACCAGATAAGCTGGTTGAGAGCCCAGCACCAGAATCAGACTGACTTGGCTTTGAATCCCAGCTCTGCCATTTACACCAGTTGTCTGACCTTGGATCAGTTCATTTGCTTCTTTCAGTTTCAGATTGCTCATCTGAATGAAGTCGACACTACCTCAGGATTGCCTCACCATCAAATGAGAGATAGTTTGTGTTAAACAATCAGCATGAGGCCTGGTGTGTAATAAAGCACTCAATAAATGTTAACTATTATTGATCTTCACCTGGTCAGTGGCTGCTGACTATTTAAGTTTCTTAGCCTTTGAATCAAGTACTTACCGACCCAGATTTATTTACTGACATGGAAAGATGCCCAAAGTGCACTGTTGAGGGGAAAAAAAAACAAAAAAAAAACCAGGCTACAGAACCATATATGCTTCCTAGGTCATTTTAAGAATTAAAATGGGAAATACGGGCATAACAGCTCTTAGTGTGGTGCCTGCTGCACTAGGAGCTAGCTGTGATTACTAGCATGGGAGCATTTTGTGTCCTGTCCAATGCTAAAAGCAGCAACAACTATTGTTATTGAGTCCATTCTTACTCACAACAACCCCATAGGACAGAGTAGAACTTCCCCACAGGGTTTCCTAGGCTGTAATCTTCACCAAGAAAGTTGGAAGAAGTTATCTAGCCAAGTGACTGGAAGAGATCCATATTTGTGCCCTTTCTGAAGAAAGGTGACCCAAGAGAATATGGAAATTATCAAACAATATCATTAATATCACATGCAAGTAAAATTTTGCTGAAGATCATTAAAAAATGGTTGCAGTAATACATCAATAGGGAACTGCCAGAAATTCAAGCCAGACTCAGAAAAGGATATGGAACAAGGTCTATCATTGCTGATGTCAGATGGATCTTGGCTAAAAGCAGAAAGTACCACAAAGATGTTTACCTGTGTTTTATTGACTATGCAAAGGCAGTTGACTGTGTGGATTATAACAAATTATAGCACTGTGAAGAATGGGAATTTAAGAACACTTTATTTATTATTTCCATGCAGAACCGGTATCTAGACCAAGAGGCAGCCGTTTGGTCGAACTGAACAAGGGGATACTGTGTGGTTTAAAATCAGTAAAGGTGTGCATCAGGGTTGTATCATACTTTCCACCATACTTATTTAATCTGTATGCTGAGCAGATACTCTGAGAAGCTGGAGTATATGAAGAATAACACAGCATCAGGACTGGAGGAAGATTCACTAACAACTGGCAATATGCAGATGGCACAACCCTGCCTGCTGAAAGTGAGCAAGACTTGAAGCACTTATTGATGAAGAGCAAAGACTACAGCCTTTAGTATGGATTACATCTCAACATAAAGAGAACAAAACTCCTCACATCTGGACCAATAAGCAACACCACAATAAATGGAGAAAAGATTGAAATTGTCAAAGATTTCATTTTACTTGGAGACACAATCAATGCGTATGAAAGCAGCAGTCAAGGAATCAAACAACGCATTGCAGTGGGTAAATCTACCACAGAAGACCTCTTTAAAGTGTTAAAAAGTGTCACTTTGAGGACTAAGATGTGCCTGACCCCAGCCATAATATTCTCAATAACCCCCCAGGCATGCGAGAGCTGGACAAGTAAGGAACATTGCAGAAGAATTGATGCATTTGAATTGTGGTGTTGGTGAAGAATATTCAACACACCAGAGACTGCCAGAAGAACTAACAAATCTGTCTTGGAAGAAGTACAGCCAGAATGTTCCTTACTAGCAAGGACGATGAGACTCGCTCACATGCTTGGGACATGTTATCAGGAGGAACCAGTCCTTGCATAAGGACATTTTGCTTCGTAAAGTAGGAGGTCAGTGAAAAAGAGGAAGACCCTCAAGGAAATGGACTGACACAGTGGCTGTAATCAAGGGCTCTAACCTAACAACAGTTGTGAGGGGATGCAGGGCCGGGCAGTGTTTCAGTCTGTCGTGTGTGAGGTTGCTATGAATCGGCACTGATTCTATGGCATCTAACAACAGCAGTCTTTATGGGAGCAGACTGCCACATCTTTCTCTTGCTGAGTGGCTGGGGGGTTCAAACTGCTGACCTTTTGATTAGTAGCTGAGCACTTAACCCCTTATTGTTATGATGTTATTGTTGTTGTTATGTGCCATCGAGTCAGCCCCGACTCATAGCGACCCCTCCTTGGGTTTCCGAGGCAGTATCACTACGGAAGTAGGATTGCCCAACCTTCCTTCCAAGGAGTGGCTGGTGGGTTTGAACCGCCAGCCTTCTGGTTAGCAGTCAAGTGCTTTAGCCACTATGCTACCAGAGCTCCTGTGAAATGAGATAATGTTTGTGATTGCACTTTGAACAGGACATCGAGGTAGTGGGCAGGCCTGTGTGTTCCCTTCCATTTTCCCTCTGACACACTCAGGGGGCTGTTCGGGGCAGGGCTTGTGTTGGACTTGGAACCCAGGTGCCTGATTTGGATTTTAATCCTTTCTTAGAGAAAGGAAAAGATAAAAAAGCAAAGCATTGCCTTCTGGAATTGAGGTTCCAAATATGGATAAAGATTGTTCTGTGCAGTGACTGGAGTCCCTGGGTAGTGCAAACAGTTAGTGAGCTCAACTGCTAACCAAACGGTAGAGGTCAAGTCCAGCCAGGGGTGCCTCGCAAGAACGGCCTGGTGATCTACTTTTGAAAAACAAGCTGTTGCAAACCCTATGGAGCACAGTTCTACACAGACACATACGAAGTCCTCATGAGTCAGAGTCAGCTTGAGGGCAACCAGTTTCCAGTAGCCAAGGTGCTGTGACAAAATGTAGACACTTGAGGGCGCTGCAAGCAATCTGCGTAGAGAAAAACAGTGTGGGGTGATAATAATACTAATACTAATAATAATACAAATGATCCTGTTACATTTAACAATGGCTTCCTTTCACTGAGTTCTTTTTTATTGTTATAAAAGTATACATAACAACATTTGTCAATCCAACATTTTTCAGGTGTGCAATTCAGTGATAATCACATTTAATGAATTCTTACTGTGAGCTCCTAAAATGTTCAGAGGGTGTCACAGACTTTATCTCATTTTATCCACCTAACCAACCCATCAGTTAGATACTATTACTTAACAGTTTTATAGGTAGGGTGTGTTGCTCTTAATTTTTTTTTAATATTTACTTTTGTATTGTGATTTAAAAATCTTGTAAAGTGTAAAAATCAGAAGTGTACAGGTTGAATTGGTTACAAATGTATACTCATAGGTAACTCCTATCCAGATCAAGAGAGAAAACTTCTCTAACATTTTCCAGTCACTACCCACTCCCCACCCAAGGGAGCTACATGCTGACTTCTATCACCATATGCTAGTTTTGAACTTTATATAAATGGAATCATACATTTGTAATCTTTAGAGTTGCCAGGTTTAGCAAATAAAGCTATAGGATTGCCAGTTCAATTTGAATTTCCCCTTGGGACATATTTGTATTTAAAAATCATTCATTGTTATCTGAAATTGAAATTGAACCGGGAATCCTGTATTTTATCTGACAATCCTAATAGTCTTTTGTGTCTGGCTTCTTTCAACATAATTGTCTATGAGATTCATCCATGTCATGGTATATTATCAGTAGCTTACTCCTTTTCATTGCTGTATAGTATTCCATTGTATGAATGTACCACAATATAGTTATTCCTTCTGTTCATGCAAGGAGCCCTGGCAGTGCAATGGGTAAGCACTTGGCTGCTAACCAAAAGGCTGACATTCGAACCCCTCCTGTGGCTCTGCAGGGGAAAGACATGGCAATCTGTGTCTGTAACAATTACAGTCAAGAAAACCCTATGGGGCCCTTCTTCCCGGCCTCATGGGGTCACTATGAGTCATAATTGACTTGTCGGCACCCAACAACGACAACTGTTGATAGATAAGTATGGATTGCTCTTAGGCAGGCAGGGTAGAGTAAAGTCAAGTCAGAGGCTTGTGGGAAGGAGAGGTGAGTCCTAGCTCCACCTCTTACTACCTGTAAGACCTCAGTCAAGTTCATTAATCTCACTGTGCCTCAGCTGTTGTTGTTGTTATGTGTCGTCGAGTTGGACCTGACTCATAGTGACCCCTCCTTGGGTCTCTGAGGCAGTATCATTATGGAAGTAGATTGCCCAACCTTCCTTCCGAGGAGTCGCTGGTGGATTTGAACTGCCAGCCTTCTGGTTAGCAGTCAAGTGCCTTAAGCACTATGCTACCAGATCTCCTGTGCCTCAGCTAGTTCATCTATACTATGGGTTAATATTAGTACTTCCAGGGGTGTTGTAAGGTTTAAATAAGCTGTTACATATAAACTACTTAGAACAGGACCCAGCACAGAGTCAGCACTACAACAAATGTTGCTGTGTCATTATACTCTGTAGACCAAGAAGACTGAAGTTCAGAGGTGAGAAAAGTCTTTATACACCTAGCCACACAGCGAGCAAATGACAGAGCACTTTGGTCACTAGTATTGGCTAAAATAGATTCATTCCTTCTTTCAAAGACTTTTTGGGCATCTGCTTTGTGCCAGGCACTGTTTAAGCCCTGAGGTTACACAGGGAGCAAAGCAGCCCAAGTTCTTGGCCTTGTGAAACATACATTCTAGGGGAGCTAAGATTTCTGTTAGCTGCTACGTGCTTTCCCTGCGCTTCTCATTATTAAATGAAATAATGTCTGAAAAGCGCTCAACACACATTAATGTTCCAGAAACAGCAGCTATTAGCCAGAGGGTAGCAATTTTATAGCAATCTTGGGTGACGGGCATCAGCAGCCCCATTTTGCCAATGAGGAAAATGATGCCCAGGGAAGGAAAGACACTGGTCCCAGTAATGCTGCTAGTGCTGGGCAGATAGGAATTCCAAGTGACATCCACCTGACTTCTTCTCAGACATCCTCATTCTGGCCTCCCACTGTGTTTGCTTCATGCAGCTATAAAATCTAGCCATTGCTATGGTCGGCTCTGAGGAGAAAGCACTGTGTCTAGGTAGTGCCTAGGACCTCTGTCCTCTCTACAGAAGCGAGGAGCCAATTTCTGGAAAGCTCCCAAGGCAAGAGGTGCTTGTTTTTCAGTCCTGAGGGCCAGGGTGTATAAAAACCACAATGCCAGGGTTCTAAGGTAGGCTTTAAAGAA